TATATATATATATATATATATATATATATATATATTGGATCACTTGAAAGCTACAAAACAGTTAACCAATTAACGATATATAGATAAATACCGCTTATTGGTCATTGTGCCATTTGATTATAGTTTCATTATACAGCAAAAAATGAAAATAAAAGTAAAAGATTGGGTGAAAAAAAAAAAGACGTGTTGATATCGATTAAGTTTACTTCAAAATAAATTTCAAAATTTTAACAGCAAAAAAATCCTTCATTTTTTTGCTGTTTCTCCAGTTTACTTCGTTTGCTCGTTCGTTTCGTTTCTGTTTGGCTGTATTGCTTGCCTGTTTTTACTTATTTCTTTTTTTATTTGCTTTCTTTTCGATTATTTTTCCAACTGTAAAACCAGTTTGAAAAACAGTATCGCATTCAGACACCAAGAAAAAAGAAGGAGAGGAAAAAGTTTCTTTATTCCCTTCAGTTTGACAAAATAAAAAACGCTAGTAATGGTTATAAGAGGAGAAAAATTAAAGAGGGGTCAAAAACAGAAACTTAATAATGAAAGGAAAGCAGTATTATGAGACAGAAGGGAAACGAGGAAAGAGTATTGAGAATTAGCCAAGCAACCATTATATCGTCTATCTTTTCTAGCTTGATCCTGTTAGGCTAAGCAGAAAAAAAAGGAAAAAATTAAAATGATAAGTGTATATAAAATCACTGTTTTCCTAAGCATATTTTTCATATTTTTCCATGTTTATGTAGATATGTATGTATGTATATGTCTGTCTGAGTGTGATCATCGTTGTTAATATGCTTTAAATATCTGTTTTGGTAAGCCAGAAACCGGAGTGCAAGTGTGACTAGCAGTGAAGATCTGGTGTCATTATTAGCATTTTAGTGATTCTTCCTCTGAAATAGGTAACATTAACGGAAATTCTACAAACACTATTACTAAAAGAAAAAAGTAAACTGCTTTTGACGAGAATTAGTTGAAGTGTGGCTTTATGAGCACACCAGAGGCACATAGTCAGTCAATTATTTAACTGCTTATTTATTTAGTTATTTAATGATTTAGTCACTTAGCTGGTCAGTCATTAACTGGGTCAGTCAGTCAAGCATTTAGTTAGTTAGTACAATTTGCATTACTACAGTGATCTAAACGACTCAAAGCCGCTATCGACCAGAGGCAGACACAGGCCCTGCGCTGTGTTTGAGCGTTTCGAATGCAATCGTAATCCATCACTGTCACACTGTGTTTCATCGTTTACTTTTTGGTTTTTGTACACAAAAAGTAAATGTTTAAAAATAGAAATAAAGACGAGAAAAAAGCTTTTTTTTAAAGCTCTATCTTTACTATATAGTCTTAAAAACTATTGAATCAAGAAAATTAAAAAATTACAATAGAAGGCTGAAGAAAAGAAACGCAAAGCAAATTGCATCAACGTTTAAATTTGGCAGTTCCACAGTTGCTCTTCTCAGGATGTTGAAAATAGTTGTTTGATTATATCCTGTGCAGATAAAGCTGCTTGCAAATAGTTAGTTGAAGTTAAGCGCAGACTGGTAGGTAGACTTCAGAGAAAAGCAAAGGGGAAATCTTTACTATAACTGGCGACCAATAGTCAGCGCAAAAAAAGAAAAGAAAAAGTAGACTAGAAAGAAGTCTAGCGAATGCTTGAATTCAGTTTTACTAAGTCTGAAGTAGATTTAGCAAACAGCATATTCCGAATACTCACTAAATTCATGAATAGAAAACCGAAGTTAAGCCAGAGTTTTTTCATTTCACCATACAACTGCTTTTTTTTCAATTTTAGTCATTTCTTTTAGCAGTACGGCTTTTTCGTGGATTACTGTGTTCCAATGGCAGTTTTGTTTTCACTTTGACTGTTGTCGGTGAATAAGTTTGAATTGATCGTAATGTTGAGGATGGTAGTGGTGGTGCTGGTGATGACGATGGTGATCGTTTGTGATGGCAGTGGTGGTTGTGGTCAAGAGGGCAAACGGATGGGGTTAATGAATGCCAAAAACAGTTGACAGCTCTGTCGCTACTACATTTTTGTATTCAACAGTATACCACTCAAACAGATTTGTTGTCCAATATTATACATCTCAACAACTGTTTACGTACCATACGAACTGTAAACGGAGAAAAAACTAGGGTTTATTACTTCTGCATGCTTCATTATCTTCAACAAATAACAACTGCGGTAGCAGTAACAACACAGTAAATTCAGTTCAAAAACTTGAGTTAAACCTCATCGGTATTAGATAATTTGTCGTTATCAAATAGTTTTTTCCTACTATATAGTTATAGTAAATGAAATGTAACAAATTAGGGTAGAATATCTCATTTTTTTTCTGTTGATTTTATTTTCCTGCTGAAAAAATGCATAAAATTGAGGCAAAGCAATAAATAATATTTACTGAGGAAGAAAATGAATAGTAAGGGGGAGAAGAAAGAAGGAAGTAAGAATGGGGAGAGAGGGATGAAAAAGGAATAGGATGCTTTGCGTATCCGTACTTCAGGGTTTTTCAAAGCACATTTCAGCGTCTTGTCTGGATGCTTTTTCAGATGCTGTTGGTGGTGGTGGTGGTAGTAGTGTTGTAATGTCACGATATTTGTTGGTTTGGTTTTGCAGGAAAAAAATGCAAAATAAACAAAACAAGAAAGAAAAAAATCAGGTTTTTAGCTATATCCTCGATTTACAGATGAGGTGAGCACCGTTTGCTGTGCTAAATACCACCGTCACCATCATCCTTACCGTCATCGTCACCATCACCATCTTCATCGTCACTGTCAAAAGGCATAACTATCACCACCATCATCATCAGCATTGTAGTTTTTGACAACGAAATTGAAACTTGTAAGGCACGAAGAAATGGATAGAAGAAAGTTTGATGGTTGACTGTTCTGTGGGATAGTTGCTGCTGTCATTGCTACTGTTATCGTTGATGTTAGTGGCAACTGTTGATGATAATAGTGTAGTATTGCGAGCAACGGTTCCAGCGAATTTTGGGTTGTATATTGGAACGCTGATGATGTTGGTCGATATTTTAGTGATGGCTGTCTGTCATCTGTGTGGAGTTGGTGTTATGTCTGAATGATTTTGCCCAATTGTCGGAATGTTTACGAATTCTATGTGTGCATCTTTTTTTTTGTCATCATTTTGTCTGATTCAAAAAATTTCTTTTACTGCCTCTTCTCATCTGTCTAAAAATTTACCTTATTGTAGCGCTGTCGACTGACTGACTGCCGTTACCAAAGTTGCATTGCTGGCAGTTCTGTTTCTCTCTTTAAATTTTTGTTTGTGTTTATGTGTGTTTTATCTGAC